TGGCTGGAGAATCCCTCACCTCCGCCTCCAGCCTCCGAGGCCCGGACTCCGCCTCGGCCAATAGACCCAGCGGCTCCACCTCGGCTCATAGCTCCCTCGCCTCCACTGTCACCCGTCGATCCACCAGCTCCACCGGGCTCCCTCGTCCCTCCGGCTCCAACTTGGTTGGGCGTCGACCCGCAATTGCCTCAGGACTCCGCTCTTCTGGCTGCACCTCGTAGCTCAGTCCCACCGGCTCCATTGGGCTCCTTCCTCACGCCAGCTGCACCTTGGTCCTCAGTCGCTCCGGCTCCGCTGCGGATCTCCGGATCTCCGCCTCCGCCTTGGTCGCCAGAGCCCTCGGCTCCACCCTGGCCCCCCGGATCCTCGGCATCCCCCTGGCTCGTTGGCTCTCCGTCTCTGCCTCGGGCTCCTCCACCACCTGCTCCGCCGCCGTTGGTCGGCCCCCTGGAGGTGGCCGCCATGCCTCCTCCATGGCTCCTCCCTCCGTCGGCTCCACCGTGGGCTGTCATTATGGCTGTGGCCTGGGTCCAGCTGGAAGCTCCTCCTGGCTCCTCCCTGGCTCCTCCCTCCATAATCTCCTTCCTGGACTCTGTCTGCCGGCCCCCTCCTGGATATCCATCCTCCTCCTGAGCCTCCTCCCAAGTTCCCACTCATCCCTCCCTCTGTTGTTTCTATGGTGCGAGGACGCACCTTCCGGGAGGGGGTGCAATGTCAGGATTCTGGACTATCTGTGTTGTGTTTTTGCTCCCCATGTGCTCTGCTACCTAGTTTTTCCGTGTGTTTGATTGTTCATTGTCTCCTTTAGACCACAGAAATTCCAAAATGACATTTCCCTTACATTCAACTTCCAAAAGTGCATTCATCTTTGCCATGTTACATTCATTTAGTTGACTAGTGCTATACGCTGTATTAAAAAAACATAAATGGCATTAATAAAAACACTTACACTGACAAGCTACGCAATATCGCGTTCATAATCGAATGCGACTCATCTGCGATTATGACCGTGATATTGCATAGTCAGTGATCTACAGCTCTGTGTAGTATTAAATGCCGCTCCATCTGAAAGCACGTGATGGAGATTTACTATTAATCACAGAACCAGCTTTACTGACAAGATGCACATGACAATCACATGTGATTTATCATGCAGCCCTTAGTTTGTTTGTTGATCACAAAGTACAAAATAGATGAGGAAAACTAGGAGGCTGGGTGCATTCAAAGCGCCGCCATTACTGTCTACAGTGCATGGAATGGTGTGCTGTGATTGGTTGAGCGGATATATCGCATTCTGCAGAGAAGGGAGACTGCCGTTTGTCGCGGTTTGGAAATAAAGGGAGAAAATGTGACAGAATAACTCGGTGGATATCGCATTTTGCATAAAATAAAAAATTTACTTTTCAATACCGACCAGATACAATACTGATTTTGGCGGAAACTCTTTTTTTTTTTTAAATGGCGTTTATCGCGTTTTGGAACCAAACTCTTCATATATATATGTAAAAATTAGGAATTAAAATAAAATGGGAAAGAAAAAATAAAGAGTATGGCTACTTTCCAGGGTGAATTTAGCCTCATTGTAGTATTATGTTTTCCCATCTCTAAAAGCCTCATAAGAAAATGAACAGTTTTGCTTGACATAATAATTGGTATATTATTGCCAATAATAAGCTACTGTGTGACTTTGTACCAAATCAGATTCATTTTTAGTATTTTCTTTTTTTTTTTTTTACTGAATAACTTGTCTGATACTAATTGCATTGTGTATTCCTTCTTGAGATGATGCTTCAAGAGTGAAGTTATCAATATGTGGCAGCCCCTTTGATGATTACATCAATGCCAGCTATGTCCCAGTGAGTACATAGACAGAAGAGAAATTGACTTCTCTGTTTCAATTATGTATGTTTTTCGATTTCGAAACATTTTGTGGTCAGGGCTACAAGTCAAGAGAAGAGTTTATAGCTGCTCAGTGTCCATTGCCTACCACAGTGGATGAATTCTGGAGAATGATCTGGGAGAAGAACGTATACACCATAGTGATGCTGAACAAATGCAACAAGCAGGGATTAGTGATTTCAAAATGTATTATTGAAATATTATTAGTCATGTTGAAAAGTAGTGAAATGTGAAAATTTATATGTAGAGTAAAGTTAACCAGCACTCTGTCTTTTTTCTCCAGGTAATGAAATGTGAGAAGTACTGGCCATCTGGCACTAATAATTATCATAACATCTCTGTGACAACCACCTCAGAGACAGAACTGGAGAGTTGGATCATAAGAGACTTCGGAATCAAAAATGTGAAGCAACACTTCCTGCATAAGATATCTCCATTTCTCTTTTCAATAACATACAGAATTGGATAATTTATCTGTTGTTGTTCTTAAATCAGTAATATACACATTAATATGATTAATTTATATATGATAATATGATTCTGTAGGTGAAAACAGAAGAAACTTGTAAGATATGCCAGTTCCACTTCACCGCGTGGCCTGATCATGGAATTCCAGCGGCCACTGAAGTCCTCGTTGATTTCAGATGCCTGGTAAGAAAACACATGGACCAGTACTCTCGACACTCTCCAGCTGTGGTGCATTGCAGGTAAATTTACTGAATATAAGGTTTTTATAAACTAACATTCATGAATTTATATGATTTTTATGGTTGCAGGAGTATGAGAAGTGGTTACGATCTAAATTCAGCTTTTTAAGTAAAATGAGTAGATAAGATAGGAGTCAAGGAGAATAACAACACAAAGATCATTCAAGGCAAATGAGCGTTGCCTGTAGAGGGCAACTGTGTGTAGTAGGGAGGGTGAGCCAGGACCTTGCAGAGGGAACAGATCCGTAAAGTCCAAGTGGGAGCCAGACAAACTGGAGATTTCAGCAAAAGTCATATGACCAAAGCAGAGCTGGAGGATCTGAGGACCTAAGTGGAGCTGGTTGGATGAAGGACCAAGGGGGGCTGGTTGGACGGAGGACAAATACTGAGCTGGTGAGATGGAGGACCAAGGGAAGCCAGTGGGAAGAAGGACCAAGGCGGAGCTGGTTGGACGAAGGACCGAGGGGAGTCAGTGGGACAGAGAACCAAGACAGAGCTAGATGAATGGACAACCAAGGTGGAACCGGTTGGACAGAGGACCAAGGTGGAGTAGGTTGGATGGAGGACCGAGGGGAGCCAGCGGGACAGAGATCCAAGACAGAGCCGGTTGAACAGAGGACTAAGGTGGAGCTGGTAGGATGGAGGACCAAGATAGAGCTAGTAGGACAGAGAACCAAAGGGAGCAAGTGGGATTGAGGACAAGGGGGAGCCAGTGGGAAGGAAGACCAAGGGGAGTCAGGGGGAAGGAGGACCGAGGCAGAGCTGGTGGGACAGAGGACCAAGGGGATCCAGTGGAAAAAGCTGAGCCTGAGAGATGGAGACCCAAGGTGGATCGAGGGTAATTTGAGGGCCAAGGGGAACAAGTGCGCTGGAGGACCAAGGGGAGACAGTGGGACAGAGTACCAAGGAGGAGCTGGTTGGACGGAGGACCAAGGTGGAGTCGGTGGGATGGAAGATCAAGAGGAGCTAGTTGGACGGAGAATCAAGAAGGAGCCAGTGGAACAGAGGACCCAGAGGAGCCAGTGGGATGGAGGACCAAGGCAGAGCCAGTGAGACAGAGGACCCAGGGGAGCCAGTTGGACAGAAGGGGGGGGGGGGGTAGG